AGAGTTGCACAAACTTTGAGTTTTATAGATATATAGATTTCTTGTTGTTTCTGCAATGATCTTTAAGTATATGTAGAATAGGCAAAGATTTGTAGATTATAACACTATTCACTGCAATCACAAAGAATTATACTGAGAAGAGTTATGGTGATTCAAACTCGAAGTTAGAAAACGGGTAGAACTTTTGAAACAAGCCAGTAGATTTCCAATTACTTACCATTTTCCAGTGCTGCAAGTAGCTGGAATTTCTCCTCATCCAGTTCAACTGCTAACGTTGGAGGTATGTCTGCGATATATAAGTCGTATTGCCTTTAGAGCAAAGAAATTTGAAAAACTTGCATCAACTACCTGTGATTGGAACAACGTCAGAAATCTGGTAATTCTCCACTACATCGAAAGGAAACAACTCTGTTCGGTATACTTGGTGTTCATTGAGAAAGTATAGGAATCTGGAAAAGCATGTTTTCAGAAACGGCACAAATGCATGAAGAGGCAACATGCCCATTCACGCTGTCTACAGCTATATTTTTTCTGATGTTGGAGGAATCGGTGTTTGCCAAAAAAAAGCAGCTGGGATTTTCCAATGTACATCGCGCAATGCCTTTGTCGGATAGAACAACGTAGATGGCGTTTTGCATAAAATCTAAATTAAGGTCATAGAAGTAGTGGGAGTCATCACCAACAAGAAGGAAACCATATTTGATCTGTGTCACTGGATGGCCGCCCTCAGCTGGAGAGACTTCATCTGGTTGTCGAATCACCGTTGGCGTTGTGGAGACTACTGTGTCATTGTATTCTAAGGATAGCAACCATATTGAGCCACGGCTGCTGCCCACCACAAGCGAAGTGGAGGAGATCCCCTCGATACCTGAAGTGGCACAACTTTTTGAGGCAAGGGTGAATAGTGGTCTCTCACTCGTTATCGAATCTCCTTCTGGAATTTCAAACGGAATAGTTAGTAACTCTTCCTCCGATGCAATGTAGTTATTATCATTTCGCATTTGAAAAAGTTTTGATCCAGTGGAAAAGATAAGGCGAGAACTTGTCCGACCACCTTCCTCCGGTGAGGCTGCTTAAAAATTCTATTACAGATCTGCTCGCGAACATACAACAATAGAACCACACTCATAATTTGCTCATGAAAAATAGCTCACGACAAACTTATCTCAATGGATGTTCAAGCTATCGTAATGAGTCTTGCTGTTCGTTTTTACTTAAGGGCCGGGCATACTTCAAGTGATTTCAGTCGCGACGCGATTTGGCAACTCGCCAGAAGTC